TCGGCCAAAAATATACCCTTTGAACCCTCTTAGACGGGTTCAGGGCCAGTCTACCTCCCTGGACGAAACTTTGTCCTTCGGCAAAGCCTCGTCCGGGTTCCTCTTTAGGAAAGCAGTTCGACAGACGTCGCACACAGTCAGAGACTGTATCTCAACGTATCTGGGTATTTAATATCCCACTCACGAGGAATATATGTGGCACAAGGCCGAGTTTAAAGTGGGTTTCTCCGATCCCCTAGGCTCAGCCAAAAATATATAGACTGTATCTCGACGTTTCTCAACAGCAGGTATTCTCTCTGTCAGTATAAATATACTTTGGACGAGTCCATCTTATGTAAAATGGGGAGAGCCCCAAAACAGATATTTTTATTCTAAAAATGTATTGGTAACTTTAAAAAATGTAGTGCTTGTAATTTCACTACATGCATCAATTGTTGATCATTTATTATAAAAATGTATTACTGGTATTTTTACTATAAAAATGTATATATATACTTATTTATAGTTTTATTTGGGTATTCAAAAAATGCCCATATATACGACCCTCAAAGATACTACCGGCCCTGGTTATGGTGAACCTCGGAACAGCAGCAACTAAGAGATGATTCTACGCTTCTGAAAACCTCCAATCTCCCGATCAGAGGTCTTGCTGCCGGATGTAGTTTATCGTCATACCCAGGTCTACCTATATTTGGAACCCTGCGGGAATAAAGATGATTTGATTCCACGGAAATGGTCGGAGGATTCATAGTAAATACTGTATGCCATCTAAACATTTTCGCTGAAAACAGCAATGTAATACCGACAGACTTACGATTTTGTGTTTGTAGGAAAGAGGCTGCAGAGTGGAAAGCTATCCCTCCTTGCGAGTCAGCATAATTATTCATAATCGCTTTTTTTTAAATCGTTTCACCCCAAGCAAGCTTTATTTTCTCTAAGAAGCAAGGGCTAATAGAATGTTAAAGGATATAAAAGAAAAAAACACTATTAAGGAGAGAGAACATTACAAATAAGACAAATTAAGACGACAGTAGATTGACAATGCATGTAAGTTTTTTTTTAGGTCAAAATTAACTGGGACGCATGAAGAAGGAAGAGATTTCCACAAATAAGAAGTGTGACGGCAGAAACTGATAGCATAGAACTTACGGTTACGTTTATCCATTTTAAGCGTAAATGATGGGACCTTTCTGCCAGTTGCGCTTAAAATCATAAAGGCTAGGTACTATAGAGGAAAGTTCATCAGAATAATTAACATGAAAGTATTTATTGATAAGTCACAAGGAAGTTACATTATAGCGGTGGGAAAGTGACTGAAGACGAGATGCCAGATCAGGATCGATAACATTGCAGATTCTTCTTTGGATTTTATCAAGACTCTCTAAATACATAGCAGGGGCATCAGACCAAATGTGGCAGCAATAATTCAAAGCAAGGGTGAATGATAGTCGTATAAATATGTCAGATAGTTTCAGTCGAGAAAAATTGTCTGATACAGGGAACTATATTTCCTAGCAGTAGATTTAGCAATTGATTCAATATAACCTCTCCACTTCACGTCAGCGGGAAACGTTAGTCCGAATCACAATGAATCACTCTCATGGAGGTTAGAATTAGACATAATGATGGAACGTAAAAAGAATTCTCTTCGATGATTCAATGATAGCAGTTTCGTTTTTGAGTTGTTAAGATTAACAATCCATACTTTGTCCCGGTTAACAACGGAAAGCAGATCGTTTTTTAGATAAGCTGCCAACCTAGACTCTCCAGGTGGTATCTCAGGAAATGGAACATTATATATAACAGTCTACGGAGAATAAAATGAAGATAAGGCGCATATTTCAAAAAGGCGGATGTTAAATAATTAACGTCATTTAGCGACGAAGTTTGGGAAAATTATACAGAGGTTGCGTAAAGATGGGTAAATCTGGGGTTGCAGTTTTAGGGCTCATGCTTTTTGTCCCATTTATTATTTTATATTTTTGGGTATGAACTATGGGCGGCTAGGAGCCTTCCTGAATTTAGAAATGTTTACTTGGTTCCATTTAGTTGGTCTTCACCCATCACGCTATTTCGCACTGCTCATGGATATCTCTGCAAAAACGAAAAAGATATAAGAGTAACCTTTCAGACCACTGGCATATCAGAGCCGTGGAAGTTTCTCCTTGTTCTTTTCATCTCCTTTCGTTTGAAGGCTCTTCGCTATCAGCCGAGATGTAGATGAATATCGTTCGCAGCAAATGGATAAGTGAACGGGAACACAGTGAAAGAACGCACTGATGGGGCCCGATGGCGACGACGAGAAGGAGATGGTAGCATTGGCGACGCGGGGAAGAAGAGGGGCAAGGCTCGCCGTTGTTGCTTGCTGTGTTGTTGTTCACATTATTATTGTTGTAGTTGTTTTACATCCGGGTGCTAGCGGCATTTCACGAAACGATCAATCGTTTGTTTGCTTGTCAGTGAAGGGATCAGAGCGCTTTTGGTCGGAGCTTATCTGTTCAGAAATTCTCACTCGGACTTGCATTACCTTTGAATGCTTTGCACCAACAACTGTTCCGCCATTGCCATGAGATTGACGAGTCGAAAGAGAGGGAATGGGTGTGGATCACTCTTTCTTTCTTTCTTTCTTTCTTTCTTTCTTTCTTTTCACCTTTCTTTCGCTTTCGAGAGAGAGAAAATCTGAATGAAGGAGAATGTAGAAAGAGCAAAACGAATAAAAATCAAAAAACGAAGATTTTAACGTTGAAGAAAAAAGGAAAGACCCGATGTTGGAAATAGAGAATAAATGGGTGTGGTTCTTTTTCCTTCTTTCGTTTTTTCCTTCTCTCTCTCACTCTCT